CATTTCCTCTGAAGATAAAATGTTCCATTTTTTATCATCTTTTGTCATTCTGGACACAATAAGAATGTGTAGTGAATGATCGGTATTAGGAATTCAGGTCCTCCACAGCAAACTTTTTCTGTCTATGAAACGACAAAAGAAATCTGTTGGCGAATGCATCCAAACACTGTCTGAAAAATTACTACCTATCTAATTTTGACAGCCATTGTGGTCAAAAGAATCGTGACGAACGCCTATGGTCAATGTAAATAGCCGCGGTCAATCCCTTGCCTAATTAAAATAATATATCTACTGTAACAATGTATATATTATAACGAGTTATTGTTAGGGCGAGTAACACAGATCTGTAATTAGAAACTAGTAACGAATTGATCTTTGATCAGTAGGGCCTTTTCGCCTGACGTTGGTATTCTCCAGCGAGTTTGTATATCAGAACGAGAACGTGTAAACAGTGCCAAACAAGACCCAAATCTTTCTTTAGGGGATTTTAGGGGGGTGGGGGGTAAACTGGGTATATCCTTTCGGAGAGTCCTCATAGCTTATAGTCTTTATTGGGTTATAGTATTTCTTTCATCCTATCTAGTCCTGCACACTCTACATTGGCTCAATGGGTTGCTTCTAATAACCCATAAATCCGACATAGGTCTGGTCGAGATAATACCTTCAAATTTTTAAACTCAGTTTCCCCCTGTCAGTGATGCAAACAGCGTCACTTTTCACTTTTCTCAAACAATAAAGTTTGAAATTGAAGCTCATGAACAGACTGACCCAGACACCAGCACAAAATAAATGTAAAAGCGTCTAGTTGTACGGCTTTGAACATTAAATACATCTCGACAATACAGAAGAACGGTAGTCTGATACCAATGTCCTGCTAATTTTCCCTCGTTGCACACTGTATGATGTGGCCTGTCTTCATTAGCCCAATTAAGTACCGAAGGTAGACCTCCATTTCATTTCATAAGTCGAAGTAATTACAGAAAAGTACAACTTCATTTCATTTTAGTATATTATATTCATTTTTAAACAATTCCTGAACGACAGCCGAATAGTCCCCAAACCTTTCCTAATCTCCCATGCATTAAATCCACCAAGTTTATAATCCCGACATGTTTCCCTCATAATAACCTGGCTTCATTCATCAAATATGTAAGAAGCGCCCTGAGAATTTAGGCACGATCAAAATAATTGACACAAAACCTGTAAATTATTATACTCGAGGCCTACAGGAAAGTTTTTGTATCTAAGGATTCACGTGACGTGTTGCTAGGTAAATTAATATGCAAACAAATGTAACGTCTGTCTATATTATATTATATGTGTGAAGTTTTGAAACAATAATCCAAATCGGGCAGACGATTTAAGGATTTTTAGGGTGTTTCTGGGAACTGCTTTCATTACAGCACACTCAGGTAAGGTGCCAGTCTTGGTTTTCTTCTGAAAGTCTTGAGAGATTTCTGTTCGTTAATATGCTTCGAAATGGGTGAACTTTGAAGAGTTTTGTTTAATTTGATTTTCAAATATATCAGAATATTAGTATAGAAGTGGGCTTTAAATTGTCAAACAGTTGGAAATCAAAATATTTTCCTGCAAGATTCTAAAATATTGAATACTTGTATTTAAATCTAATTTTCTTATCGTGGTGTATTAATTGTCTAATCTCTAAGTTTTTTTCTATTTTGTGAATAATACTATATAAGAAGATGTATATTAGCTGACAATTACCGATTAAAATTTAAATGTATATCTGGTTATGAACAGTTGAAAATCAAATTATGTATGTTCCCCAAGATCTTCAAATATTAAATACTGAAATCTAAATCTTATCGTGGTGTGATATCGGTCTAATCTCTAAGTTTTGTCTTATCTGTGAATTATATAAAAAAAATGGCCCTCACTCCATAACGATTACCAGTTGTGAATAAGAATAGCGGTTATAAATTTCGAACACACCTCTCATGTAACTGAGTTGTGAGTTGAACTCTCATGTAACTGAGTTGTGAGTTGTACTCTCATGTAACTGAGTTGTGAGTTGTACTCTCATGTAACTGAGTTGTGAGTTGTACTCTCATGTAACTGAGTTGTGAGTTGTGAGTTGTACTCTCATGCTACCGAGTTGTGAGTTGTACTCTCTTGTAACTGAGTTGTGAGTTGTACTCTCATGTAACTGAGTTGTGAGTTGTACTCTCGTGTAACTGAGTTGTGAGTTGTACTCTCATGTAACTGAGTTGTGAGTTGTACTCTCGTGTAACTGAGTTGTTAGTTGTACTCTCGTGTAACTGAGTTGTGAGTTGTACTCTCATGTAACTGAGTTGTGAGTTGTACTCTCTTGTAACTGAGTTGTGAGTTGTACTCTCGTGTAACTGAGTTGTGAGTTGTACTCTCATGTAACTGAGTTGTGAGTTGTACTCTCATGTAACTGAGTTGTGAGTTGTACTCTCATGTAACTGAGTTGTTAGTTGTACTCTCATGTAACTGAGTTGTTAGTTGTACTCTTATGTAACTGAGTTGTGAGTTGTACTCTCATGTAACTGAGTTGTGAGTTGTACTCTCATGTAACTGAGTTGTGAGTTGTACTCTCATGTAACTGAGTTGTTAGTTGCACTCTCATGCTACTGAGTTGTGAGTTGTACTCTCATGTAACTGAGTTGTGAGTTGTACTCTCATGTAACTGAGTTGCGAGTTGTACTCTCATGTAACTGAGTTGTGAGTTGTACTCTCATGTAACTGAGTTGTGAGTTGTGTTAGGAACTCATGACCACTTTCATTATTTACAACCATAAACAACTGGTAATAACTATGATGTGAGGGTATCTTTAAACTAGATTTTATTAGACTTACGTAAAGTCGATTGTACCATATATTAGGTTGATCTTTTGATACCTTAATATCTATAGAAAGTTTTCCGGATGGTAAAGAAAAACGGTTGTTTTGAACATCATCTTATACCTGCAATAGTCAGCATTAGGGTTTGAGGATGTGATCGACTAGGCTACTGGTTTAACCTGAAAGTTTATAATTCTGTTGAATTATCTTGTTTGTAGGTAAAACTCTTCAGACACCAAACAATTCCTGTTAAAAAATATAACAATGTAACTGCATTTCTTGTGCCTTGTAGAATATTAGTATAGCTCATGATAAGGTACAAATCAGCGTTCTCATCATGATTAACATGATTTAAAGACAAAAACTTGTCTACCCTGTCTGCTCGACGCGTGGACAGTAACGTTTTTACGGGGGTGGAGGTTGGTGGACTTACCCTAACAGAAAAGTTGTTAACCGACTTTACCTCCGCCATTATATTATAGGGAAACAACTGGCTGTTACTCCCCCTTCAAAATTCTATGTCGTCCACTCGCCTAATGAATCTTAAAAACGCCATTGCGCGTGGTTGACACGTCCGAGGTTTATGTACATTAGGCTATCGTATGATATCAACTCGTCAACAATGAAGGGTCTAACTTGGATTATTGACAGTAAACATTGTTATTACCACTTGAGTCTTAGATACCAGGCTATCAATATCACCTTTAGCCAGGTCACTTCGACCACGACAAACAGTCTTGAAACTAAATAGGTCATTTCGACCTTGGTCAATCTCGCCCAGTATGCAGAAGACATGATAGCCTCCTCTTTGAGATCATGCAGCACTATTTAACAGGCCAACTTGCTTTCTGCACTTCTCGGTGGTTTCCACTGTAGGGCGATGGTAAATACTGCCTGGTGAACCGTTTGCCCAACTCGTAACCGACTAGCATGACAACTCCTGTTGACATGAACATAGACATGTCTGATATCAGTGACGATATCACATCCGGATATCACGTCTGAGGAACAGAATAGGGTCAGTTATCAGTAGTGACGATATCACATCCGTATATCACGTCTGAGGAACAGGATAGGGTCAGAGATGTCGTTAGTGACGGTATCACATCCGGATATCACGTCTGAAGGGCAGGATAGGGTCAGAGTTGTCGTTAATGACGGTATCACATCCGGATATCACGTCTGAGGAACTATGTTGAGTCAGAGTTGTCGTTAGTGATGATATCGCATCCGGATATCACATCTGAGAAACAGGATAGGGTCAGAGATGTCGTTAGTGACGGTATTACATCCGAATATCATGTCTGGGGAACTGGGTCAGAGTTGTCGTTTGTGACGGTATCACATCCGGATATCACGTCTGAGAAACAGGATAGGGTCAGAGTTGTCGTTAGTGACTGTATCACATCCGGATATCACGTCTGAGGAACAGGATAGGGTCAGAGATGTCGTTAGTGACGGTATCACATCCGAATATCACGTCTGGGGAACTGGGTCAGAGTTGTCGTTTGTGACGGTATCACATCCGGATATCACGTCTGGGAAACAGGATAGGGTCAGAGTTGTCGTTAGTGATGACATCACATCCGGATATCACGTCTGAGAAACAGGATAGGGTCAGAGTTGTCGTTAGTGACGGTATCACATCCGGACATTACGTCTGAGAAACAGGATAGGGTCAGAGTTGTCGTTAGTGACGGTATCACCTCCGGACATCACGTCTGAGAAACAGGATAGGGTCAGAGTTGTCGTTAGTGACGGTATCACATCCGGACATCACGTCTGAGAAACATGATAGGGTCAGAGATGTCGTTAGTGATGATATCACCTCCGGACATCACGTCTGAGAAACAGGATAGGGTCAGAGTTGTCGTTAGTGACGGTATCACATCCGGACATCACGTCTGAGAAACAGGATAGGGTCAGAGTTGTCGTTAGTGATGATATCATCTCCGGACATCACGTCTGAGAAACAGGATAGGGTCAGAGTTGTCGTTAGTGATGATATCACTTCCGGATATCACGTCTGAGAAACAGGATAGGGTCAGCGTTGTCGTTAATGACGATATCACCTCCGGATATCACGTCTGAGAAACAGGATAGGGTCAGAGTTGTCGTTAGTGATGATATCACCTCCGGATATCATGTCTGAGGAACTATGTTGAGTCAGAGTTGTCGTTAGTGATGATATCACATCCGAATATCACGTCTGGGAAACTGGGCCAGAGTTGTCGTTTGTGACGGTATCACATCCGGATATCACGTATGGGGAACAGGATAGGGTCAGAGTTGTCGTTAGTGACGGTATTACCTCCGGACATCACGTCTGAGAAACAGGATAGGGTCAGCGTTGTCGTTAATGACGATGTCACCCCTGGATATCACGTCTGAGAAACAGGGTAGGGTCAGAGTTGTCGTTAATGACGATATCACCTCCGGATATCACGTCTGAGGAACTATGTTGAGTCAGAGTTGTCGTTAGTGGCGACATCACATCCGGATGTCACGTCTGGGGAACAGGATAGGGTCAGAGTTGTCGTTAGTGACGGTATCACATCCGGACATCACGTCTGAGAAACAGGATAGGGTCGGAGTTGTCGTTAGTGACGATATCACCTCCGGATATCACGTCTGAGGAACTACGTTGAGTCAGAGTTGTCGTTAGTGATGATATCACATCCGGATATCACGTCTGGGGAACAGGATAGGGTCAGAGTTGTCGTTAGTGACGGTATCACATCCGGACATCACGTCTGAGAAACAGGTAGGGTAAGAGTTGTCGTTAGTGACGGCATCACATCCGGATATCACGTCTGAGAAACAGGATAGGGTCAGAGTTGTCGTTAGTGACGATATCACCTCCGGATATCACGTCTGAGAAACAGAATAGGGTCAGAGTTGTCGTTAGTGACGACATCACATCCGGAAATCACGTCCGAGAAACAGGATAGGGTCAGAGTTGTCGTTAGTGACGATATCACATCCGGAAATCACGTCCGAGGAACAGGATAGGGTTAGAGTTGTTGGGCTAGTAACCGACATGTCATGTTCATGAAAAAGTTTGACGTAAAAAGAAATTAAGATAGCAGGCAGAGTGTATGTCGAAATAATTTACAATGTCGCTATTGACTATTACACAACTTAATATATCAACTCTAGGAGATTATTTATTTTTCATTTTCTGTCAGATTAGGTTCATAAATAACTCGACTGATTATAAAGTGTATGGTGCACATAAACAGTTCAGTAAGAGAACATCAATATATTCAGATTGTTACTTCTCTTGTCCACACTGTTAGTTACAAATTGTTGGAGTCACCGCCCTCGACAAAGTAGGCAACGGAAATCACTTGGAAATTTACGTCTGTAGCCTACCTAAGAAAATATTTTTGAAAAAATGTCCACACATGACTTCACAAAGGTTCAATGTTCATGATATGTCGTCAAACGAATTTTGTGATGTCACCCATATTCAGCATTCACATTAACAGTTAAGTCCATTCATAATTTCAGATGGGGGTTATTTGCAAAAGTTCGTTCGATCCAATTTATGTCCAATCTTTGGCGATCTATTTAGATTACAAAAAATGAATGGTTAGTCCGTGCACATTATCATATTGGTAAAAATTCGACGACATTCTTTGGAGTTGTATCCCTTGAACTATCAAGAAATTAACCTTAGCTAGACACTTGTAAATTGTGTTGAAATGTTATGTTATGTTATAAAAGAAGTGTGTTATATCATAATATATTCCTTTGTGTTTTTTGTTATATGTGCTCTCAACTTCTAAATGTCGTTCAAATCTTATAACCTTAGCTACCTATTTATAATTACAGGATGACGTATTATGATTCTCCACAAATCGTGAGGACAAGAAGTGCCACGCCCCTCACTCCAGAAATGTCCAAGATTTTACCATTCGTCACAGATAAAACTGTTTCCCGCCATTTTAGCAGTAATGGTCGTTCCATGGGGTTAGGTCACGCCAGAACGTATTACAATCCCGCTAGGTCAGGTGCTTTCTATAGATCTTTTCGGTACTTTGATGTATAAGATCGGGTCAGCAGACTCCCGTCTTCATAAAGTCAAGCTTTAACGAATTTCGTACTTTTACCTTGACTGCAATTGTCACCATTCTTGTTTCATGGAAAGCAGCGAATTGATTGAATTGTACGTTAATGAATACAGCCAATCAGAGCCTTCGACAGAAAGGCTGTAAATAATATGGCTTCTTGTTTACAAGCACCTGATACCACTTTTCATTATGAAATACTTATTCACTTATTATTGATAGGCCTATACTTCCTCGTGTAAACACTTCATTAGCTGCTATTAATGTTTTGCAAGTATGTTGTTTGAATTTCGGGTTTCGTTTTTACGTTTGGATCGTTAGTACTTGGTTTATTCCTCTACAAACACCAATTTTATTGTATATTTCAGTAAATCACTATATTCACGATATTCTACCAATGATTGGGGAGCCAGTAACAAAGTTAATTTCGGTCTTTCTGATCGAGAAAGATCTTACGCTGAACGATTGAGAGCTGACGCCTGGCGAGCTGTTAAAGAAACTGATGCGAGAACTAGGAACAGGCAGAATGAAGCTACCAGGCGATTAGGTACGTATTAGAATGTTAGCTTCAAAATCATCTTCAAGGCGTGAACTCTGACCTTACATTGGTACTCAGACACTTGACGATCTTCAATGCCTCGTTGTCATGTATCCAATCGTTAAGGAATGAATGTGGATCTTGTTATCGTTATGGGGAAATAAACGCGTTTTTCATGACAAGACAAATGACCTGTCAATCATAAAGTGGGCGTGTCATAACGCTTTCAGCGTTTATTGGGTCATATTGATATCAGGTATGGTTGGGTATATTAAAGAACAATCATTAGTTCTGTAAATATCAGTACCTAATCGACTAGTTCATCCAATCAACATTGGCTAAATGTTAAGCTAGTATTAGGTGACAGCCTAGGTTCAATTAGATCAAGATAAGTGATTAAGAAGTTGACTATTTCATAGCATATTCATTATTCAGAGTGTTCCATGAATATTTATAAACCCTTGTCACAAGCCTTGTTATGTAAATCATCATATCCTGACACTTGTTTCAACGTATATGATGCTTATTACTGTTTGGCCCATCTCCACAATATCAAGCTATTACGAACACCTTTCTTGTATCACAGAATGCAACGACTTGATTGGATTGTACGCCAGCAAATACAGCCAATCAGAGTTCTCGACAGAAAGACTGTAAACATCAAGAGTTGTTCATATTGTTAATATTTCAACAGGTGACAGAGTTTGTGATATAGCACATTGGAAAAGTGAATTAAATAATGAAATTGATGCCATGCAGCATGAAACAGAGGATTTAAGGGTAAAGAGTTACCGCCCTTCGCTTATTGCTGTGTCTTCTATCCTAACATTTGCTATTTTCACTTGTTGTTTTGTTTTAACATATCTGATGATCTGTGGCTTTCTTTTCTCCCCGAGTTTTATCTTTTTATTCTGGAGAATGTTGTTTCCTCTTTGGCTCACTGGAAAAACTTTAAATCTCTCCACGAATGGTACCATGATCCTACAGACAATGATTGGAAATTGGGTTCACATAAGCACACTGTAGATTAAAAATTAAAAACAATATTGGAACGAATGTGAAAATTTTGAAATTTAAAAGATCAAATAAAACCTCAAGAAAATATATAAAGAAAACTATTTTTTTAAAAAAAAGGAAAAAAGAAAGCCACCGACTAAATGACTTCACCTTTTCTTCTTATTTCACCCTTTCATTAACTTTCTTCTCCCCTTCACCTCTTACTAACAGAACAGAGAGTTGAAGAATTAAATTATATGAAAACAGAAGTCAACAACGAATATCGCGCTCTTTATATAGAGACAGACTATCTCAAGGTAGACTCTTTAGACATTTTCATTTTCACAAAAAATAATTGTTAAGATGTTTTCAAGTTTTTGTATGTGTATCAGGTACACTTATAGAGCGACAACTCTGACCCTACCAGGTTTTCTCCGCGGTGATATAACGAAGGGATATCGAAAGTTGGAAGGCCCAGATGTGTCGGCTATACGTGTACCTTTAATACTAACTTCAAATAATATATGTTTTCCTACTACGTTTTTACTTCCGGCAAACGTTCTAATCTGCAGCTTTGATATACATCTATATATTCTTTGTTTAATACTCTCTTTTACTTGGCTTTTACTGATATCCAGGCCCGTATTTAGACTTGATTGTTCGGAAGGACATGTAATGGACCGGTTGACAGAGTTTTTTCAAGGGGGGGGGGGGGGGGGTCCATTTGTCGAAAGGAAGGGGAAGGTGGGGCATCTTTCCCTCCTGTAGCTACGGGCCTGTTGATATCGCTTTATATACTAGTACGTGTATCATTTCTCTTCAAAGGGAGACAACTATGTTTCAGAGACACGTCGAATTTACCGTTTGGCTAGAAATGTTTCAGGGGGAGGCGGGGGGATAAAAAAAATTTGAATGTCGGAGGGCCAATGCCGGGTGAGCATCTCTTCTGGGAGTGACGCAGAAACGCCATTGATTGCGGTGTCCGTTAAACTTTTAGAGAAGAGAGTTAAGAGCCAATATGGCGAGGTACCCAAGGTAGACCTAGCGTCTGGCAAAGTCCGAGGGCAGCAAAACAACTGACTGTATATAAATATAGGCTATATAGAAATTTATACAATTTTCACATGTTGCCTTCTAACCTGCCCTCAGAAAATAATAACAAAATATTTAATTGAAATCACCTGTTGTATTTTATCTCCAGGAATATCGTCGAATGTTAGAGAAAGCGTTTAATGATACAGGTAATCCATTACATATAGCTGAAGAATGTTTATTACATAGAGAGAAAAGACACGGTATAGATCTGGTGAATGATGAAGTCGAGAAGTCACTAAGTAAGGTATGTATCTACCGTGAAAGTTCCTTAGCGATGGGCTTTACGGAAACTGTCGAGATTTGCCGAATGGCTACTAACGGTTTACCGTGAAAGGTAACAACAGATCACGGTAATGTTAAATACCGGAAGTAAGGAGTCTCGTCCAAGAAGACACAACGAAATTCACCATTCATTACCATGTCAGATTCAGCTTTACTAGAGAATCCTCCATTCGGCAATCCTCGGCAGTTTCCGTAAAGTTAAAACTTTCAAAGTGGACCATTTGAGAATCCGACAAAAAACAATAATCGAGCATTCATAATATGGACATCTAACTTAGGAGATTTTGATATACTGTTTGATGTAGACGGAGGTTACTCTCATCCTTGCCAAGTTCAGAAGAGGGGTTGGTTTTCTAAAATTTCAACTCAAATGAATTATATATAGATAAAACAGAATTACATTCGGGATGCACGTGCATTCTCATTGGTTACCTAATTGTCAATCGTATACATTTTCAGGAAGTAGCTGTAATTAAGAAATGTCAAGGTCGCATGAAAAAATTATTAGATAAAGCTTACGTACAGCTCAAGTAGGTATTCGGTTTTCACCATAACTAAGCTAATGAGATACAATTCAGTGAATAGCTCTAATTAGCCTGTCTGTCTATTTCGGACTCAAGGGATGCCTCCCACTCCCCCACTTTCAATTTTTAACAGTGAAAGAATAACCTGTGCCCCCCTGGACAATTGTGTGGCCCCTGCTCGACCCGCTACCTGATGTTACATAGAAGCTCCACTATTGCTTGTATCATTGCTTTGTATAAACAAAACTTCCGTATAACTCTTGACATCTGTGTCCTGTAAGGTGTCAACAAAGAACAATTCTGTTAATGAAGCAGTATTGTTGTTTGCAATTCGAGTTACATTACTCTAAAGAACCAAAATATCAAGAAAAATAAAGATGATTGATGATTTTGAGTTGAATCTGTTTCAGAATGAACCGAGCAGCCCAACACTCCCTGGAAATAGACAGTAAAGATAAACACCATGCTCAGAATTTAGATGACAGAATGCAACAGTTGAGGAACTCCTCGGCCGGTATAGGTTATTACCCCGGAATTGAGAACGTCGATAATACGTGAGTATAGAATATTTGTTCACAGTCGTGTCGAGTTCCTTCGATTGGTTCCATTACTCTCCTTCCCTCTATAAATCTTTACTATTTCATGGTATTCTCTTGCAATCATTTGTATGTTGGAGAATATAGCCCAACTACTTGAATAGAACGCCTTAAATCATAATTGTCCAAATAAAAAATTTTTCAGAAAAACAAGCAATAATCGACAGAGAAGTTTCAATTATATATTGGTTGATACATAACAATACATTTCAAAACTTGTCTCGGAAGATACTAAAGTGCCCTGCACCTCCAGACTACCTCTTGTCTTTCATAGAAATTGATGCCATTTTCTTGATCTTCCAGAATCACCATCCCCGAATCGTGGGCTCGATATTCTCAAGAGAACATCATCAGATCTCAGAAAGAGAGAGCCGCTTCGGAAAGACTTCGTGGTGAAATTGATAGCTGTCTGAGAGCATGCGCAAACGAAATGTGGAGTATATTCAACGCTGTGAATAACGCCTTTAATACGAGAGTTCGCGAGACTACAGATGCTAGAAATAAACTGCAAGGTCATCTTCAGAGAGTAAGTATTTAAACAATGTGATATCAGCATCCGCTGTTAAAATTAACTTGGCATCTACTACCCAACCATTTGAAAGTTGATTCGTGCTGCCAACCTTGCGAAGCAAACAGTCAAACTTGTATTAAGCAGGCGGCCAGGGGATTGCTTAAATTTAGTTGCTGACTGGCGGAAGGTGCTGAGGTTTGATGCATCCAATGAATTAAGAATGACAATTTCATCTTGTGAGATTTAGTTGTATGACTTGTTATTTATGCACGTGCATTTCTTCATCATTCCAAGCACAACCTGTTTGTCAGTTGAATATGATGTTCTGTATTGTGTGACAGAGCGAAATGCTTGTATCTTCTGAACGAGGTAGTTTTAAGCCTTCTTATCTCCCCTGTGTGTTCATTTCAGTTCAATAATCCTGGTGATTATTATTTCAGACGATGCAGGAGATTTTCGACATGGAAAAAAATGTTGAGTTGTTAAGAAAAGCCATTCAAGATAAAGAAAATCCAATGAAAGTGGCTCAAACTCGACTTGATGAAAGAACAAGAAGAATCCATGTTGAAGTCTGCCACGATCCTGTCATGAAAACGTAAGTGTTAACTCTCTTCTTGATAAGGGCGGATTTTTATTGCCCCTGTTCTTAAAAAAACATTAAAAAAAGACTTACGATAAAAAGTCAACAGAAGTGTGAAATTTTATATTGAGAATTAACACACTAACGACAAAAGAGATTTTTCAAAATATGGATTTGACTCCCCATTTCTATGGGGAAGGGGCTTCCCCGTATCACTTTTTACACACATGTGCCCCCTCCCCTTCTTATGATTGATAGAAACACAACTTTCATCTGTTATTTCTGCTTCGTTTCAGATTGACGCGAGAAGTACACGAGATCCGAGAATCAGTGAGAATTCTGAAGGAGAAATTGAAGGCGTGTGAATTAAGTCTGTCCAGATTGGTGAAAACTAGGTCCACATTGGAGCATGATATCGCTACCAAGGATAACTCCATTAAAATAGATACCAGCTATTGTTTGGGCATGCGTAAGGGATTTCCTATGGACCCTAAAGTGGGCCCAATATTCCAGATGCCTACTTGTTAACTAAATTATCGATGGTTTCTTCTTTTATTAATTTTTTTAAAATGCTTATTTTTTCGCTTTTTCTGTGATAATTGTAGTTTATGTGAATATTTTCTATTTTAATATTTTTGGTAAAAACTGGAGGTAGATATAATAATTATGTAAATAATATTGAGTGAAAAAGTTCCCAAGATATTTCTTAATAGTTTATAGCTAAATGTAACAATTCATGCGTTGTTCCGAGAAGTCTACGTCATCCTATATTTTATAGTTATACCAAACAATTCTCTGAGGCCCTAAAATTAAAAGAAAAACACAAATCTTTATTTTGTGGGTGGGTGGGTGTTTCTCATGGGGGTAACTTCAGGCTAATTAGTTACAAGGGAGTGTGGGGCTTTTCTTCTTATCCGGCAACGCGTTGATTGTCTTGATAAGGGCGGATTTTTAATGCCCTGTTCTAAAAAAAAAAGAGAATTGAAAAAAAGACTTAAGATAAAAAGTCACCAGAATTCTCTGAGGCCCTAAAATTAAAAGAAAAACACAAATCTTTAGTTTGTGGGTGGGTGGGTGTTTCTCATGGGGGTAACTTCAGGCTTATTAGTTACAGGGGAGGGGTGGGGCTTTTCTTAGATCCGGCAACGCGTCGATTGTCAATAATTGATTGATTTTTTTTCAAAAATGTCAAATATAATAAAAATCTACATTTCAGTTTTTTCTCATAAATTTTTTGATTTCTCTTGCCGTTTACTCAAGTTTAAAATACCGAAATCAGTATTAGCTACAGATAGTCTCGAATTATCTATAGACATCTTAATTTATTCAGTATTTTGTAACATTATTCAAGACTGGATGATTCTGATTGCTTTATCATTTGTAATCCGAATTGTCTGTTTATTTGTTCGTACAATCTGACAGTTTCAGATGTATAACCTTCCTGTGATAATGTTTATGTTATAGGTATAATTCAGTTTTGATATTATGTTATTTTTCATAAGAATATAAATTATAATCATTAGCTTTATCACGTTTCCTTTCTTTTTCGATTACCAACTGTCTTTCAACATACACAGCCTGTAGCACACGGGGCCTCGGTTCATTGTCCCATCTGATATGAGACGTTTTTTCATCTCAGCCCCTCTTACCAAATCTCCAAATTTGCATGATATACCACCGGACTATGTCGCCAGTTGATATAAATTATCTTATAATACTTGACCACAGAGGAACATATTCACAATGTCAAGCTATTACCAACAGCGTCTAATACCTTGACTACAATAGCCACCTTTCTTGTATCATGGAAGGCAGCAATTTGATCTGATTGTATGCCAATGAAAACTGTTAATCAGATACACCGACTCAAAGACTGTCAACATTATGACTCATTGTTTACCAATTTGTTTTTAGAGAACTCTGATTGGCTGTATTCGCTAACGTACAGTCCAATCAAATCGCTTCATTTTCAAACTTCTGTGAAAGTTGGTTATTGCAGTCAACATGGAAGACGTAAAGGTTTGTAATAGCTTGACATTGTGAAGATAATAAGTGATATAATAAAGGTGGTTATTGCAGTCAATGTATAAGACGTAAAAGTTCGTAATAGCTTGACATTGTTATTATGGAGAGAAACCAGATGTCGACTGCTATAGAATCATTCTGGAATCATCACAGTTATCGTTCTTACACTAGTCGCGTGCATGTAATTCTTTATTATATATACAAACTTACTATTGCGTGAAGGGCACGTGCTGTGAAGAATAAATTTGACGTACACCAGATGATGAAGTATCAAATTTCACTGTTCATTCTGTATATTGAGTAGGTTAAACTCGATAAGTAGAAAAAAAACATACCAAAATAAACGGTATTAGATATGACGATTCTTAGAAAGTAATGGCGAGTTGATTAATTCAAACACTAAAAAACCCATTTACATATATTTGTAGGTCGATATTTGTATTTTCGATCTTCCGAAAGTGCCAATATATAAGCATTTCTACAAGAACCACAGGCGTCTGACTGAAAATTTGAATGATACAAATACGCATGTCAAAGATAGAAAACCCCTTCATAATCTCTGTTAAAGCAGAAAGTTTTGAAAACTTGATATCTGCCCAGGCCCATGGGTAGCATGAATTTTTGATAGCAGGGAGTATGTGACGGTATATACTGACACCCGAGGAAAAGCTATCAAAAAAAACTTTCTTGGATCTATGTAGTGCAAAGAAATCTTGGCTATCAGAGAAGACGTTACGTAACGGTGTTAATATTATCTAAGCCAGTAGAAGTATGAGTATTAAATGGTACCGACATGTTGGTACCAGGTGGTAGATTGTAGGTGGGCAGACTATCTCTAATCTCCAGGCTACTATTTATTCCCGTATCTAGGTAGTCATTCACTCTATAGAACTCTAGAATGATGTTAACGAAAAACACACGTACTCATACTCTATTACGCTCGTGCGTTGCTAGGCACTTCTCAGATATCTACGGCATTGCTTTACCATATATGAACATGGTTGATGCTTCTGACCAAACTTCTAAATAATCGTGACCCCTGCTAAGGTCATTTACATTTACATCAAATCGCCCCAAAATAATTTCGATTCATTTGAAAGGTCAAAACTTTCATCTTGTTTAAAATTCCAACTTGCAGAAGTTTTCGGAAGCCATCTTTGAGAGAGTGCGAGACGATTGGAATGTTGTTACAAATCTATGAATGAATTTGTAAAACATCTAATTTAAGCCCCAACTTGTGATTGGCATCAGTAATTAACCTATGAAATCCAGGTGAGACATCACGTGATCAGCTTGGTGCCACCTTTCCCGCGTGAAAAAGAAGTGGATTGCTGACAACTGGAACTTGTGTGTGTCTTTTACAAACTTTCTTCTATCAGGAACCTTACGTCAAGGTAAGAAACTTTTTATGCTGTCGTCTGCTCGTCTAATATTAGTATCACTCATAATTACCCATACATCAAAATCCAGTGCCAACATTTTTTTAGGGTGATTTTTTGTCAGGTCGTTGCCAAAATAAACTGATCCCAGCTTTACGTCTGCTGTTAACCGCCATTTTGTTCTGTCAATGTCAAACGTAAGCTGGTGAACGATCTTCTCTTCTGCACTTCAGAATATCAGATCTTCGTTTTTTTAATGTTTAGTCTTTCGACTCGATTGCTTCCAGATTGCGTTCTTATCAGAATCTCTCTTATTCAATTGATTCATATAAATTGCATATTCAGTGAATCTGATTCGCCACCATGTTGTTGCCTGCCTGATTTACCCTTGACTTCGACATGTTCTTCAGTTCTCCTATTAGTTCAACTAGAAATGTCACTATGTATCAACCAGATTCAGTTACAGTGTCTGAATAAAGCGCCTATTTACATCTTTCGTTAACATATGTTTATGTAACTTGAAACAAAGTTAACCAGAGATATTTTTAAGTTTCTGTTTTCATATTACAACACATATTTTCCTACTGTTGAAGAATCTTTA